TTTAACGAAAAGAGAAAATAAATATGATTTTTATTTACCAGCAACATATATCATTGAGTATCACTCATTCTAATCAAATTATTAACAGAATATTTATTGAAATGCAGGTTTAAAAGATATATAAGAGATGTCACATGTTATGTAATCTGCAAACTAATCAGTCAATTGTACTATAATTTATATGCGCTCTAATGGATGCTATAGATATTTATTTGGGATTAACAATTAAGACAAAAAAGGGGTGGCGGGCTAAACTCATACGAACCTGCAGCAATGACTTGATAGAGGCAGGGTTGCTTGGAATGACCAACGGAATTGCTGGCCCAGCAGCCCAGGGTCCCGTAATCTGTATCGGTTACCGGGGTGTAATTAAGCCTGCTGGTTGTGCCCTCATTGCTATAGTAGGTGGACGGAACGTCGCTGAGGTCGCCGCTGTTGTTGAAGGTCCAATGGAAGGTTACGTTGGTGGGGCTGGCCTCGACCTCGCAAACTAAACTTATGGTCTCGTGCTTGAGGGCGCCGTGCACTTCCTCGGGCATGTTGAACGGTGGCGGGGTGGCGTTCTGGTGTCTCCAGCCTCCGCCCTTGTTCAGTACGTACTTGCACACGGGCGCAACTGTGAGATAACGTATGGATTTTGGCACCTTACTACATATTCCAGGCAGGAATTCGCGAGGACAATATAATCGAAACACACGTAGCAAATGATAAAAAGAGAAAAGTGTAAAACAAAATATATGCAACAAGATAAGTAACGAAATAAATATCAAATTGGGAATAAAATACAGTTAAATCGAGGCGTTACCTTTAGAAAGATAATGAATGCGTAATGTTATGAGAATGAAAATAATAAAGAATATATGTGTGTGTGTGTGTGTGTGTGTGTGTGTGTGTGTGTGTGTGTGTGTGTGTGTGTGTGTGTGTATCTCGTGAATTTTCGCATTAAATTTTAAATTTATTTGTTTTAATAATATTATTGTAATGAGATATTAATTTTGATATTTAGAAAATTAAAAACATCAAAATTATAAGAAAAAGATAAGAATTAATTTTCTTAATAGAAAATATTTTTTCATTACTTCGATAATAGGAAAAAAAATATTATATATATTATATTAATATATATATTGTATAGTAACATGGAGTTAAATATTCATTAGACATATGTTCTAGGATAGCGTTTATTTATTACGTATTGAATTTAGCATAATATGTGGAATAATACATACGTATTTGGTTAACCAAAATATATGCGAGATAAGTTATACCATATAGTGAGCCCACCATTTATTAGACGATTTAATTAATAATTACATCGTATATGTGCGAAAGATATAGTCACTGAACCGACGAACATATGTACGCATATATCTCCATTGCTCCATTTGAAATGAAAATATATATTATATATAAACCATACATTCATATATGTATCGGTAAGATAAATGATGCACGGTATATTTTAAATTTCCAACTTTTTCGCCAAGCTTTTAAATTGACGCGCGCCAGGTGAGTCAGTAAGAAGTTATGACTTGCAGCAACATTTGCCATCATGAAACAAGCTGCATTTCGAGCGGCTGTGTGCTAGATTTCCGAAAAATATTCCAACGTCATCGCGTGTGCACCGATAGTGAAACATGTATCCGATCTGGATTCTGTATTTACCAGAGTAGCTTAAATCTTTTATCTAAATGCTGAACATTGCGTCTTCCTTTAATTAGTTGCTTTTCAATTACGTTTTGGCTAATTTGACCGCCGTTTTTGACCTAACTGATCTATCATCCAATAATATTAATAATTCTTTCTAAAATGATGCTGGTGTCTCATCTGTAATATCGACGAAACAGGCATTTCATGTTTTTTCATTTTTTTTGTTTTCCTTATTTTTGTATAAAGTAAAAAATTCTTCTCCGGAATAAAATAAAAAATATAAATAGTTATGGAAACTTACGAAAATCAAAAACATTGTAACAGGTTTTTGTTATCATATTATTTCTTCACATGATATAAGTAATTACATCCAAACAATGTATATTATCCAAACAAAAAGTTTCCTCATACTGTTTGATAATGTATAAGAATGTAATGAGACCTACAAATTATGATCTTGAAGTTTACAAAAGAAATAAATGAAGAAGTAAGATCTCACTGCACACAATCTAATATTCATACATATATATATATATAGGATACAGCAAAGCGAGAAATATACGTAATGTTTTATTTGGAATTAAGAATTTACTTTATTGTTGTATTTGGCTGTTGTTTCATCCCCTTAATATGATATGTTATTAGGCTAAACATAGCGAACTTTTGCGCTATTCTAAAATAAATTTAGAGCTCAAGTCGGATCGGCTTCACGCAATTTCTTTCATAAATGCTATATATTACGTGTGGCTGCGAGGAGTTTGGTCCACGGATGAGGGATCGATAACTGTACCCCTCCGGATCGGTTCCACCGGCGACATAAAATCGGCCATTTTATTTATACTTTCCGATACTACAAAATCGGAGAGCCGGGATTTACGCAACATCGCGGATATTTCGTGAAATATCGGTGACGTCAGTGAAGTGGTAGCGGTCGCTCATGGTCAGCCGCAAGGTAAGAGCCGCGGGAAAGTCAGCGCTAAATCACATCGATCGCGTTTTGCTGCGTATCTCAACTTTATTTCTCACCATTTTTGTTCCGAAACTTCTCTCGATATTCTATACTTCTAATCCTAAATCTAGACTCCTGAATTTTTTATTTTAAATTTCAAAGAACTTCGATCATCATTTTCATTCTTAAATGTTCCCTGAATATTCTATACCTTTAATATTAAATCTTGGCTTTCAAATTTTATATTTTGAATTTTAAAAAACTTTGAATTCTATTCTTTTTGTTTCTAAATTTTTTCTTGATGTTTTATACTTTTTAATCTTAGGTAAATTTAAATTTTTAAATTTTTTATTTTGAATTTTAAACTTAATTAAACTTAACTTATCGAACCATTCACTATTTTTGTTTCTAAATCTTTTCTAAATATTCTGTATCCATAAATCTTCTAATCTTAAGAGTCTAGATTTCCAAATTTTTTTATTTTGAATCTCAAAGAACTTCGAACTGATCGCGGAATAACGATGAGAAACTGATGGCGTAAAATCGTTAGTTCTATTAGCAGTGTTCCACATCATGGAATATGCTGTGTCACGAGGCATTAACCGACACTTTCCGCGTTCTCTCTCTCTCTCTCTCTCTCTCTCTCTCTCTCTCTCTCTCTCTCTCTCTGTCATCGTCAGGTAAGAGCGCGTAAAACATACTTACACATAACCTCGAGATTGACTACGTTGGACTTGGCGCGACCCTCAATGTTCGTGGCCATGCAGGTATACCCTCCGGCGGACTCTCGAGTTATGCTCTGCAGCACCAGCGAGTGGTCCGACAGCACCACGCCGGCGGTGACGTTGTGATGCAACTCCTCTTTCTGAATAAGCAAACGAGATCGGGTATCTAAGTCAAGGACTGCCATGTCATGCGCGTGGAAACAATACAAATCCCAAATTTCTATGTAACATAATTTATGTTTGAATAACATTAACTAGCGTTACATACTACATTATTACAATATTCCTAAACAATACAAGTCTGCATCAATTTGAATTAACTTTATTAAAGCTAACTTGTATCTATTTGAATCAATCTGCTTAATTTTAAACTTTGAGTTTGAAAGACATTTCTGTTTCAAAGTGCCTTTAATTATTTAATACGAAAATTACGAATTATTTAAAATAATTCTTGAATATTAATGTGTCAGAAATGTCTACAAGATTATTGGATAATTAATAAATGAAGCATTGAACGATCACTTCATATCTGCTTTCTGCGATCGTTTTTCTCTCCACATCAAATTCCCGTAAGACCGAACCGACGGCTCTCATTGTTGCCCGTCGCAAATAAACAAATTTGTCTTAGTCTTGGCATTCAGCGCCACTTCCGCCTCGGCGAAGATCGTGCCGTTGCTCAGAAGGAAACAACTGCGGCCCGCTGCGGGTTGTCGTCCGCTTGAGAAGGTCGGACAAAGGGAATTTACGATGTACACTTGTCCTCCCTCTATCCTCTCTCATTTCTATTTCCTCTCCCTCTCTCTCTCTCTCTCTCTCTCTCTCTCTCTCTCTCTCTCTCTCTCTACTCTATAGAACAATTCCATCGGTGCTTTCTAGTGCTTTATCGTTCTCCGTTCCCCGTCTATCCACGCCCTTTCTCTTCATCCGTCTTTATCATCACTTTCTTGCGAGTCTCCGTTTTGCTCTTCATCTTTTTGTTTGAATCCCGTCACGTGTAGAACGTCGTAAAACTTGCAAGTGCATTTTTGGCTAGCAATTCTGCGAAGAATTTGGACGTGATTCTTCCTTAGCAAAAATTGAGACTAACGTTTTTTTACGATGTTATAATTCGCAACATTAAATATTTCATTAATAAATTTATATTAAAATTTATCATGAAACGCATTTAAAATTAATTAAAAACATAATTTTATTATTTATTTGAATTATTGAAAACCCTTTTAACTTTCAATCGTTTGTAAATTACCGATATTTCGATATTTGAGCAGTCGTTATTGCTTTGGTTTTTTTTTTTTATTATCTGTACATCCGGAAAACTCTTCCGTGTAATTTTTTAACCTTCCATTTTTAATCTTTCTACTGCGTACTTTCCCACACATACGGATCGAGGAGCAATTCGTTGTTTCTCTAACATTCGAGGACGATAGCGCGATATCCGCTTTGCGCTTCTCCCCGGCGTGGATTTACATTGCGCAAGAGGAAGCATCGGTGCGATTGCGATGCAAAATATTTGCACGCTTTAAATCACGAGGTCCAGATAACGGAGCATTTTTCTCCTTCCCTCGTCTATCCCAGAAGCACCAGAGAATACGAATCAAGTGCACTGAAAATTTCGCGATTTCGTTTAATGTAGATTCTCGCTTGTTTCGAATGGATTTTTTCAACAACACATATTTACGCGTTTAAAAAATCTTTAAGCTTCACGGTAATAAACTTAAGATGTTAAATCAATTTTCTAAAATGGTAAACCTCAAGTATTTATTAATCTTGTATTGTTTATTAATCTTATTAGATAAATGTTTGGAGAATAAAAATATCTTTGAAAATATTTTACAGATAAAAAAATGTTGGCATAAATATTATTTATGCACAAATATTTACTTCAACTGGACTTAAAATAAATGTAACAGTAAATAACAGTCCTTCATGGGAAATATTTTCCTTCATTGAAAAATCGATTATCACAGGGCAAAAAAGATTTACAAGTCTAAGACTTAACAGGATAACAAAATATAGAATGTCTATTTGTTGAAATTAGTTTGAACTGGGAAAGGTGAAGGATGTTTCGAGACGTCGATCTCGATGCTAGCAGTTACAATTCTCTGCAAACATTATCGGAACATCCTTCACCTTGGATAAAATCACCGTGGATAAAACTGAACGAAACTGGGATGCGAACAATACCGTGAAAAGGCGGATACGCGGCAGCGACCACGAGGCAAGAGGTTTGCGCGCGTACGTCTCGCTGCGCTTGTTTTAGATGAGTAACGAGCTTCGTATCTATTTCTCCGCGGAAACTGGTACGTGCCGAGGCGCATCGGGCGCCTGCAGCAGCGAGGCGTCGCTGCAGGATCGGGAAGCGATACGTCTTCGTGGGAGACAGTAGATATCGTGATGTAAACGGGCGGCGAGCAATGCGCATTCGTGCGATTATCTCGGTGTCTCAAGTTTTAAGCGCCTGAGAGAAGCTGAGATGCTTTCAAATGTAATTATAGTCGAATCCCCGCGACTTTCGATCTTGCGAATATTATTATTGCGCATAATGGCAAATGAAAAAAATCCCTCGGTGTAATCAAAAAGATTCGGAATCCCAGAAATTTAATATATTGGCCAATTTAATACTGACGGATAATGATTAATTCAGAAATAATTACTAGGATATTTTTATACTTAATGGCGAATAAATGTCAATTGTGATTAAATATTATTTTTTATGAATGAACATTTAATATATATTCCTTCTTTTTTAATAACTATTCTTTATGAACTTTTTAATATGCAATTCCATCGAAAATCTACAGTAAAAAAGCGTTAAATTAATTAAAATCTTTATTTTTTAGAAATTTTTTTTAGTTATAATATAAACTATTTAATATACTTATTCTGTTTAATATTTATTTGAGTTCCACTCATTTTTTTCAGAAGATTTCAGAGAATTAAATCCATATTTATAATTTTAATAATTAAATTAAATATTAATAAATCAAAAAACAATCAATGATATATAATGTTGATGTTAAAAATAATGATTCTAATTGGAATATAAAAATCCTTTTATATAATCATTTCAAAAAAATTATATTACTCCCGGATTAATTACTTATTTTGTATTAAAATAACTGAATAATGGTTTCAATACTTAAAGTAAGTAATTAATTACTACCTTCCAATACTAAATTTTTGTAGGGATAAACTGTGGGGTTATAAAAGTTTAGATTAATTTAGAAGTTAGAATCAGATTTTAGAGCGATTGAACGAGAAAGTGTGAAAAGTATCACTTTCGCTCAGATAAAAAAGTTAGTGATTTATTTCTTTTATTATATACTTCATAGTTACTTTAAAAAAATCATGTCTTTAACATCAGTATCTTTATCTACTCTTTTCATAGTCGGACATTCATATTTCTCAACGAATAATTCGTGATAAATAACATGTTGTCAACGAACATGAACTATTTCCATCTCGGAAACTCTCACGGCGCAAATGGAATTTCCTATTTCGACGGCCACCTCCAGGATATGCTACGGCCACCGTCCTATGGGATTCGCGTACAGAGAGGACTCTCTTTCTTTCTCTCTCTTCCTCTCTTGGCAATCCTGATACCGCGTGAATTCTCGCGTAACACGACGCCATCGTATTAGACGTTAAATATACGTAGCTGTGTCGAGGACCGGATGATACGAGCGCGTGCCTCGTTCCGGGACGAGCGCAGAATATATCCGCGTCACCGAGTATAATATACACGAAGCCCACCCACCTCTCTCACGGATGCAAGACAGGGGCGATAAGTTCCATCTCCAACATTCTCGCGACAGCACTCTCCATTATGGGCACGTGCGTCTTATATCGCGTATCCTATATACATCTCGTTGCAAAGTTTCGTCATTCGTTCGAGTTATGCATAAGTAACGATCAAGTCCTTTTTTCAACTTTTGACTTGTAGCCATCGCGAGTCGAAGAGATATCTTGCATGTCGAGGCTATTCTTAAATGGAAAATTTTGAGATGGAAAGTCAAAAAGTGCGATTTTGATAAATTGAGAAAACGAGATTGACACTTTAAGTCAATTAAAATTTTATGATTTCCTGAAAGAAGGGATATGATAACTACTCGAAAATGAACGATAAGCAAGGTGTAACAATCACAGATAATAATGCAAATAACAGAATCATATGGAAAGAACGATTTCGTCGAAGTATCTAAAAATTTAGCTAAATATTGATCTGAAAATAATTTTTAGTTGGCTCATCAAAATAATTACGTAAAAATTTCAAATAATAACGAACAATGCTGCAAAAAGTTGTGATATATTAACAATCAATTTGAACGTTTTATTTTGATAATCCAAACAAAATTATTTCTTGATCTGTATACTGTTGGAAAATTTGTTACATTTGTTAAATTTGTTAAATTTATTACATTTCACATGTTCCAAACGATACAGATATTATGTAAAAAATTATCACAAAAAAGGTAATACTGATAGATAATTTGTAAGCAATTGTGGAAACATATTTTTTCAAAATAATTAATATTTACAGTATGTTAAATTAAATATTTATTTATTTATTTGTCTTAGAATTTATACTTTGAAACATATTACGTTACTTGTTCATTTCCTCATAAATTGTGTCATTTTGACATTATAAAATGATGAATATTTCCAATTTAACATAAAGTCTTTAAATAGTCTTTAAATAATCGCATTAATGATCGAATATGTTAAAATTTATAATATGTTAAAATTCAATAAGATGAAAATGGATCGTTTTCACATAATTATAAAATATTTTTTACTATGTATTTAACTAAATTTTTAGATACTTTAAAAAAAATCATCCTTTCTATACAGAAATTTGAAAGATACAATATTTTAGAAAATTTATATCTAATTAAATGTAAATAGCAAAAAATTGACGAAAGCAAGAAAATTTTGCCGTATTTTTCCGCTTGAATTTTCATCGTATTTTCGTCGATGCAATGAAGTCCGCTCTGATATCGAATTATTTCCAATGTTGGACAAAGTCTCAAATTCCCAAAATACGCATGACGACGTTAATTGACGGAGATTCGATTTTCATTCGATCATCGCAAAACGCGAAATGCCGTCTCTATAATATGATATAATGATGTTATAGCAC